CCAAAAGTAGACAGTTTATAGGACAATACTTATTACTGAGGACTTCAGCTAGGTGTATATATCATGTTCCTATTTTATACTGTCTTCTGAAATTAACTAGTACTACAAATACATACTTAGTAAATATTATGTACTAGGCTTTTTTGAGCTTAGGATGCAAAGTTGACTAAGACAGGGGCCTCTAGTTTACTGGAGGAAACTCCAGTAAAAGACAAATGTTTTCTCTAATATAGTGCAACAAGTGTTGTGATACTAATACTATGAGCAGAAATTTGCTTTGTAAGTATTACAGATTAATAAGATAACTTTCCACTGAGTCATGGACAAATTAGAATCTAGTCTGAAATAAGAACATTGTGTTTGTAATTATGGATATGACTATTGTTCCTTTCTCCTACCTCAGACCTTCATGTACTAAGGATATTTCCTCTGCCTGCAATACTTTTCCTACTCACCCCCTCCATTCTCAATCTGCTTGGATTCTTTATCCATTAGCTCTAATTTGGATGTTAACTTGTATACAAAAGCCCTTTCCCATTTCTTCAATCCAAATTAGATCACCCAATAATTATTCTGTCCTTGAAATCTTTTTTTTTTTTTTTTTTTTAATGAGTTGTGTAATGTCTGAATCTGCTCTTACATTATGAGCTGCTTTGGAGCAAAACCATGTGCATTTTACCTATCACACTATATCTGTACAATAGAGCCTCATGAATGAATAATTGCTCATTATATGCTAGATAACACACTAAAATTTCACATACACTATCTTATTTAATTCTTCAAACAGTCCTGAATTATTACATCTGTATTAAAGATGAGAAAATTAGACTCCAAAAAATGATATGGTTTATTCGTAATCTCATCGCTTTGCCATTATTTGTGACAAAACCAGAATTTGAACCCATTTTAAAAGCTATACTACAATGGCATCAGTATTTTTGTTTAGTTTTCTGTATTTAGATAACAAGATACACTAGCTGCTAACCAGTACTGGGGTCTCATAAAACAGCTACATAACTGATAAAAGCATACATAAACTTGTGGTTTTACATGAATGTGTTACTTCAACAGAACAGTCACAATAGGATTCTATAGTATATTTTTAATCATAAAAAAGAAAATTAGAAGGATGGGATCAGAATTTGGGGTAGAGAAGACCTGTGGAGATCAAAGCCTCTTGTATAGATGAGAAACAGACTAAAACCGTAGGGTAAGTTGTTCAGAGTCAAATGTTGGTAAATTAGAAGCTAGTTCTCCCAGATCCCAACCAGTACTAGCATGCTACAATATCCATTTTAACTGAGTGCTGTGGTACATGCCTGTGATCCAAGCAATTTGGGAGACTGAGGCAGGAAGATTGCAAGATCAAGGCCAGCCTCAGCAACTTAGTAGTGAGATTCTGCCTCAAAATAAAAAGGCATGGGAATGTACCTCAGTGTTAAAGTGCCCCTGGGTTCAATCCCCACTACAACGCCATGGGGGTTAGTAATAATCAACAATGAAATTTCCATCTTGGGGGGTAAAGAGATCTGGTAAGAGTAAGTGACATTGGGCTGGGGCTGTAGCTTAGTGGCAGAGCACTTGCCTTGAATGTGTGAGGCACTGGATTCAAGCTTTAGCACCACATAAAAATAAACAAAAAAAGGGATGCCATTCATCTACAGTTACAAAAAATAAGAGTAAATGACTTTGCTTAAGGTCATAGGGTATTTTAAGAATGAAGCTGGACTTCTTAGACTTTGGGTCAACAAACTGGCAACACTATCTGGTTTTTTAAATACATTTTTATTGAAAGAGCCACACCCATTTATTTATAAAAGCAGTCAATGGCTGCTTACATTAGTGGTTGTAAGACCTTATGAACTGTAAAGCCTAAATGTTAACTGGATGTTTACAAAAAAGTTTGCTGACTCTGCACTGGCACCTGATCCTAGTTCTGTATCCCTGGGAGAGTGCTTTTAAGTTGTCCTTTCTTCACATTTCACATTTAATAGGAAAGAACTTGTGTCTCTGGGGGTCTTTTTCTACAGACTAGATGTTCTAAACCTGCCAACGTACAAAAGATTTATGCTAGTTTTTCTAGGCAAAAGTAACATACTTTACAAAACAAAAATCACTGCTACAGAATATGTGGTAAGGCCGTAAGAACCAGATGCCAGCCAACCTATATTAATAGCAGGATCAAATGCATGATGAATTCAGTTTGAAACCATGTCTAGGGACATAAAATATCTCTTTTTAGGTACAGAATACACAATAGGAAGTATTGTATAATATAAACTGATTGCATATTCTATAGTAGATGCTTTGGAGCCTGAAAATGGAGTGCAAAACTCTGTTAGTAATTCTCAGCACTAGCAATACCCACATGCCCTCAGGCTCTTCCCTATACCTGTTGGACCAGTAATTCTGGGAACAAGGCCTAGCCTTCTGTTTTTTTATCAAGACCTTTAGATGGTGGTGATGAATTGAGTTTGTTGGGTTTTATTTTCTTTGGTGGGGTGTTTTGGGTGTTTATTTGTTTTTGTTTTTTGAGTTAATAAGATCCTATTCAGAACTCTTGAGCACAAAATGGGTATTTGGGACAATTTTACTTCAAAATTTAGTTTTAGGGCTGAGGTTGTAGCTCAGTGGAAGAGTGCTCATCTTGCATGTGAAGGCACTGACTGGGTTCAATCCCCAGCACTACATAAAAATAAAGTGAAGCTGTTGCGTCCATGTACAACTAAAAAAGTATTTTAAAAAAATTTAGTTTTAAAACATGGAAAGTACAATAGCCGTGTGTGATAGTACATGCCTGTAGTCTTAGCTACTCGGGAAGCTGAGGTAGGAGGATCTCTGAAGCACAGCAGTTTGAGACTGGCCTGGACAACATAGTAAGATCCCATCTCCAAAACAAAAATGCAATGTAGAGAGAATAACCAAAACTGACACCTGCATACCAACCATTCAGCTTTAGCATTTGCCTTCAAAATTACTGATAGAGTTCAGCATTTTGCCTTCTGTTATTTTTTTTATTTTGCTTTTTTTTTTTTTTAAGAAATGAGAGTACAGACATTGGTGAAGAAATTCTCCTGTGTAGCCTTCCAGAATCCCATTTCGCTCTCTTTCTAGAGAAAACCACTGTCTTGAATTTAGTGTGCATCACATGCCTTTTTAAGAATAATTTTACTAGCTCTGCATACATCTTTAAAGAATAAATGCTTATAGGAGCAGATGCAGTGATACATGCCTGTAATCCTAGTGACTCAAGAGACTGAGGTAGAATCGCAAGTTCAAAGCTACTCTTGGCAACTTGGCAAGACCCTTTCTCATAAATAAAAAGTACTGGAGATGTAACTCAGTGATAGAGTGCCCCAGGGTTCAATCCCCAGTACCACCAGAAAAGAAAAAAAAAAACCCATCAGAATATATGCTTAGACATTTTTAAACTTTAAATAACTGATCTTATAACATGATTCCATAACTTTGTTTTTTTCTCCAGAAATTTTCAGAATATACCCCATGATGATATAGTATTTTAGTTTATTATTTACTGGCTATTTAAATATGCCATAATTTACTAATCTGTTTTCCTTTTAGTGTCATTGGGTAGTTGCCACTTATTTTATTATTTAAACTACTCAGTAATATTCTTGTACTTATATTTAATGTGTTATGAAAAGAAATTTCTCTGGAGTATATGCTTTGGAAAGGAATAGCTGAGAATAGGGTAAAAGCTTTTGCAGTCTTTGCTAGATAGTGCTAATTGCTTTCTGAATGATTATCCCTGTTTACTTACCCATTTGCAAGGTATGAAAGTCCCCATTTCTCTACATTTTTATTAAAACTTGTCGTTTTCATGTATTTTATTTTTTGCCAATCAGAGAGACTTAAAATGCCTTCTAGTTTTTCAGTTTATTATTAATTTAGTTTGGGGGAGCTTGGGTTAGTTTTTATGTTTCTTGACATTTCAACTTACTTCTGTGTATTACCCCTGATACCCTTTATTCATTTTCTTTTGCCTTTTTTACATGGATTTTTAAAAGAAATGCTTTAATAAAAAGTTCGTACTTTTATGAGTATTTGGGTTTCAAGTACTTTATCTCAGTCTATGGCTAGATTTTTGGCTTGGTTTATGGGTTTTAATGCAGCACCAAACTTTAATGTCAGATTTATCAAGTTTTTCCTTAAAGATTTATTATTTTTTGTATCTTATATGAGAAAATCTTTTCCTACTTTTAGGTCTTAAAGACTCTTTTATCTGAAGTTTTAAAGCTTTGTGTTATACATATCTTTATCTGGAATTTACTTTGGAGTATTGCATAAATAATCTAATTTTATTTTCTCTTTCCATGTAGATGACCAATTATCCTACCACTACCTTATTGGCTTATAATGTCATCTCTCTGATATACCAACATTTTCCTATCTGCATGGGTCTGTTTCTGGCTCTCTAATCTGTTCTGTTGGTCTATTTGCCTATGCTTATGTCCAACCCACATTGTCTTTTTTTCAAGACACATTATTGTGACCTTTTCCAAAACTAATTTAACTGTTCTCCTACTCTTTAAGGTAAACTATATATTCATCTTGTTAAATTCCATGAAAATTTCTGTTTTACATTGGTATTGTCTTGAATTTATGAATTACTCTGGAGAGAATTCATGAACATGGTATATCTCCTTTATTCAGCTCTTCTACTATGACTCTCAATAATGTTTTATGGTATGTCCCAAAAGGTTGTGGGCATCTTTTAGTATACTTTTTATTCAGTATGTTGTATTGCTTTTTGAATACTGTTATTTTTCTAATTGGTTATTTCTGGCCTAGAGAAGCATTTTTTTATCCTTTTATTTGAATGTTATTCTCTCCTTTTCCAGTAGATGGCAGTAAAATACATTATTTCATTAACAAGAGTATTTTCCTTTTTTTCCTCACTGAAATTAAAACAACTTATATATTTGAAGGTACTGATTCTGATATATTTCTAAATTATCCACCTTTGTCCCATTTAGGAGGATAAAAAGAAGCGAGATCGAGACCGTGTGGAGAACGAAGCAGAGAAAGACCTCCAGGGTCATACCCCTGTAAGATTAGACTTGCCCCCTGAGAAGCCTCTCACAAGCTCTTTAGCCAAACAAGAAGGTAGGAATAACTCTGAATTGTTTGTTCTGAATAAAAAGCCTGATATTGTTACAACTAGGGAAAGTGGGCTTCGTTGATGAAATTTTCTCTAAAGTTTTCTTATTTTTCTCTTGCTGCATAAGAGCTTTAAATTAGCTTTGGTTTTTGCGTTGATATTGTAAATCTTCAGCATATTAAGATAAATGGAATTTCTGTATAAGATATTATTTATGAATGTAGATAAAGTCATAGAAATGAAATAGTACTCTCTAGAATTTTCCTTTTTAAAATACCCTTTCCTGTCTTCTTTGCTTCAGAAGTAGAACAGACACCCCTTCAAGAAGCTTTGAATCAACTGATGAGACAATTACAAAGGTAAATGTTTTTCCAACATTTTTATACAGTAGAAATCAAAATAGTAAACAGAGAGGTTCCAAATCACTTTTTCATATTTTTTTTTTTATTCTCTAAAGCCACATTTTGTGACCTGAATCCAAATGTACCTGCTTTTAAAGTGGTTGGTAAATATTTTGCCTGGCAATAGAAATACTACATAAGAACTTTTAGATGTTCTTATTTGGTTGTTTTAACTGGCAGCTTGTAAGGGTTACATAATACCATTAATGACAAATTTCTCTTTTTCCAAAGTAATTTTTGATGTTAAAAAACTTTCAAGCCAGAGTTGGTAGTGCTTGCCTGTAGTCTCAGCTACTTGGGAGGCCGAGGCAAGAGGATTGCTGGCAACATAGTAATACCCTATTTCAAAATAAAAAATTGAGGGTACTGGAGATTGAACCCAGAGGGCTTTTACTGCTAAGCTACATCCCCAACTCTTTTAATTTTTTATTTTGAGACAGGATCTCTCTAAGTTGCTGAGGCTGGCCTTGAACTTTAAATCCTCGTGCCTTAGCTTCCCAAGTTGTTGGGATTGCAGGCATGTGCCACTGTGCTTGGCTCAAAGTAAAAAATTTTTTAAAACTTTAAATCCAGGAATAATTCAGATATTTCCACTTTGCTAATAGATGGAAGTACCTTTTGTATATTTGTAGAGCACCTATGCCATGAGTGTTAAGCAGCTGTTAAGTGCAAGAGAAAAAATAAAATACCATAAATAGGATGCCTCTTTCTTAAATACAGAAATTCCTTCTAAAAACTTCAGCAGGTAGGGCTGGGCTTGTGGCTCAGCAGTAGAGCGCTTGTCTAGTACATACAAGGCCCTGGGTTTGATCCTTGGCACCACATAAAAATAATTAAAATAAAGGTATTGTGTCCAACCACAACTAAAAGAGAAATATTTTTTAAAAATTTTTTCTGCAGGTAAATTAAACCAATGTTAAAATTTTTCATTTTATATTTTTGTTTGCTTGTTTTGGGGTTTTGATACTAGAGATTGAACCCAGGCCCTCATATATTTGAGGCAAGTGCTGTATCACTGAGCTAGCTATTACTGAACTATATCTCTAGCCTTTTTTTTTTTTGGAGACAAGTGTCTTGAGTTGCCCAGGCTGGTCTCCAACTCATGAGTCTCCCAATAGCTGTGATTATAGGTGTATGCCACCACATCTGGTAAATGTTTCTTGAAAGGCAAATAAGAACTCACTATTAGAACATTTATTTTAATATTCTTCTTTACTCAGAATTTGAATTTTTATCTCAAAGTTATTTACATTATTGACAGAAGATTCATAGTTACAGGCCTTGCATTCTAATAGTTTACTTTCTTATTACTGTATTGCCCTTTCATCTCACTGTGTTGTCCTTATAAGTCAATGCAGAATATACCATAAATACTTTTAGAAGATAAAGCCTCTAGTGTGGTCTATATTCTCAGTACCTGTTTAGCTTTATAATTAAGATCAGAAGTTACTGGTCTTTCCTCATTTTTATTGTTAACAGTCTTGAATAAATCATTCATTTATTATCCCAAAATACTGAACCGGTAAGTATTGGGTATTCATTTTATCCCAATTAGAAGTTGTGGCTACAAAATATTTGTTTGCCTTTTAGTTTTATTTGTTGTAACATAAGGCCAGAACATAGATTAATAATGTTACCCTAAATAAATCTACTTAAGAGTCTGTCTAAACATGTTACCATTGCTCAGAACATTTTGAGAATTAGAACCCAGAGCCACATTCTTTTATTAAGCCTTAGTGACTGGATGACTTCATTCTTGAGACTCAGAGCTAAGCCTGGTTTAAAAAAAAAAAAAAAAAGAAAGAAATTGGTAATGCTATTTTTAGTCAAAACTATGTGGGGCTGTATATTAAAATGTCTAATTTTAGGGAGTATAGATCATTTGCTCTGAAAGGTAGTTGTAAGAGCTTATCCATAGATGAAGACTGGTTTATAAATAGTAATTACTATGGAAAGCTCAGATTTTGATGTGTAAGTTCCAGACTTCATATTTTTTGCCTTTTGTTATCATTTTTTTTTTAAAGAGAGAATTTTTTAATATTTATTTTTTAGTTCTCGGCGGACACAACATCTTGATTGTATGTGGTGCTGAGGATCGAACCCGGGCCGCACGCATGCCAGGCGAGCACGCTACTGCTTGAGCCACATCCCCAGCCCAGCCTTTTGTTATCATTTTTTTAGTCTGGCATTTTTTAACTGTAAGCAAAAATAGAAAAATAGAGGCATAGACCTGATTTCAGATTCTAACTCTATCCTTTTTAGATTAGAACCAATGATTTTACTATTCTGAGGCTCAGTATCCTCATCTATCAGTGAAGGTACCATTACCTTGGTGGTTTTTGTGAAGATCAGATATAAAATACATCATGCAGACCTGGCAACAGGGTAAACATGTTTTAAAAATTCTTGCTGTTATGACTTTTTAAGCCATTTTTGCTGTTATTATTTGGAGTGAAAAGAAAAAAGAAAAACTGATCTGCGAGAGTCCAAAGGGATTAAAAAAAGTCAACCTAATGACTTAATCATAAAGATACTGATTGTCAACCCTGGTAACACTAGAAATACCAATTCCTAATACGCAAATATCAATACCAGAATTCAGCCTTGAACATACCAGTGCTTGGACCTTCCTTAAGAGATTCTGATTTAATAGATCGAGGATAAGTCTTCACCATCCCACCCCTGTTGGAATTTATTTCGAGCTGCTCTGATTCTAATGTACAGCCAAAGTTAAGAACCTGTGATAGCTAGGTGTGGTGGTGCATGCCCATAATCCCAGGGCTCAAAAAGCTAAGGCAAGAGAATCACAAGTTCAAAGCCAGCCTCAGCAAAAGCCAGGTGAAGCAACTCATTGAGACCCTGTCTCTAAATAAAATGCAAAATAGGGCTGGAGATGTGGCTCAGTGGTTGAGTGCCCCTGAGTTTAATCCCCGGTACCAAAAACAAACAAACCTGTGATAGAAAACTGGTTTTAGGGGCTACAGATGTAGTTCACTAATAAAGCACTTACCAAACATGTGCAAGGCCCCGAGTTCAATACCCAGTACCAAAAAAAAAAGAAAACACTGGTTTTTAAAAATTTGAGGGTATTAAGAGGATCTTAAAACAATGTCAGTTTTTTACGCAGAATAGAAGTCATATCCATTGATTACAAAATATGTACATGTGGACCTTCCTGGTGCAAGTGTATTAGTTTAAAAACTAACATGAAGAATTGCAGATGTACATTCATAATTATTACTTCTGCCTTTTCCCCATAGTTTCGTAAAAGATATGCAGCACTAACCTCCCAAAGCCTGAGACATTGGTCAGTTAGTCTAGTAGGAAATTTATTGTGCTTCATTTTTTCTCTATGTAGAAGGTGCTTTGATTTAGGCTACGTATTTAAAGAGAAAGATTCTGTCTTAAGGGTACAACTAGTGTATACTGTAAATTCTTTCTTTTTTTGCAGTATTGGGGATTAACCCAGTGGTGCTCTACCACTGAGCTTCATCCCAGCCCTTTTTGTTTATTATTTTGAGACAGGGTCTTGCTAAGTTGCTTATGCTGGCCTTGAGCTTGCAAACCTTCTGCCTCAGCCTCCTGAGTTGGAATTACAGGTGTGCGCCACCATGCCCAGCTTACATCTAAAAAAGTTTTCTCCTGATTTCTCATTGACCAATAGATTTGTTTGTAGTAGAAGTAAAAAATAGCATTGCCTTTTACATATCTTCACAGAAAAGACCCAAGTGCTTTCTTTTCATTTCCTGTGACTGATTTTATTGCTCCTGGTTATTCCATGATCATTAAACACCCCATGGATTTTAGTACCATGAAAGAAAAGATCAAGAACAATGACTACCAGTCCATAGAAGAACTAAAGGTAATTGTAATTATGTGTGTTTTAATTGTTGAAATAGACCAAGCTATCATACAAAATAATGTGCATCTTTATTGAGATCATTAGAAATTTGCATATCTGATATTAAGAATTTTGGTTAACCTTTTATTTTGCAGAAAACAAAGTTTATTTTAATATTCAAAATCTTGCATTTTTCTACTTTAGAAGAATTAATGACCTTGGTGATAGAAAATCAGATGAAAATAAGCCTTCTGTTATCTTTTATTTATTATTTTTATGTTAGTGAAGACTTTAATGTGTTGTGCGGTATATTTCCCCAACATTTATAATGAAAAGATGTTAGATTTTTAACTTGAAATCAATATAAGTAAATTAATATTTTAACAAAAGTTGAGTTTTTCTATTTCTAAACATAAAAGATGTGCGTGTCTTCTAATAAAAGAATAAATTGGCTTATGTAAAAATACTAAGTTTAATTACATTTTCTAGGTTGATGAAAGTGAATTGCTCCCTGTGTTCAATTCTGCTGTATTTGCTGAGCACATTTTTTTTCAGCTTTAAGAGGAAAATAAAATACGTAAAAGAACTGAAATACAACCAAAAATTAATGTATATGTCCAATGTTGTAGTTGAAGTTTTTTTCATATTTAAGTCATTTTGGTACTTGTTTACTTCAGGGTTACACTTTTTGTTTTAATTATACAGAAAAAAAGAAACCATATGTGTTTAAAATCTGCACAGAACCACAACAAACTTCAATGGTTTAGATAATAACTATTTTACCTTTATTTTCCCCATAAACATGGTGTTGCTCACTTGATGTAAAGGTTAGATCCAAATCATTTACAGGAGTAAAATGGTAAACATTGTCCTCACTTGGTTTCCTTTTTTCTTTTTCATTTACATGTTGATCAACTGAAATTATGGAAAACAACAACATTTAATTCTTATGTGTAGGTAAGGTTCTGCGTAATTCTGAAAAGCCTGAAATCCATTATCTCTTATTTGGAGAAATGGAAACTTTTCTCAGTGTTTCATCTGGTGAAAATTAGGTTAAAAATGTATATTTCAGCATATTTCAGATGTTATTGTTGCTTATAGAAAAGAATTTCACAGTCTGGGATTTTTTTTGTATTTGTTAACAGTTTTCCTCTGATCTTTTGCCTATATAACAGGAAGGAGTAGAAGTTTGTCCCCTGAGTGTTTTTAAGCAGATTCCGGGTTTTTATAACTGAAATAAGGCATTTTTAAGATTGAAGTTTTCCACATTAAGAAAAGTGTGTAGGAAGATTCGTCTTTTTGAGCAACAGAATGTCGTAATGCAGAGGCTGAGGCACACACCTGTAATCCCAACAATTCCGGAGGCTGAGGCAGGAGGATCATAAATTCAAAACCAGCCTCACCAAATTAACAAGACTCTATTTCAAAAAACAAAACAAAACAAAAATTAAAGGGCTTGGGGTATAGTTCAGTGGTTGAACCCCTGTGTTCAGTCCCTGGTACTGAAAAAGGAATCTAAAAGTTGCCTTGGGCTGGGTATTGTAGTTCAGTGAGTTCCTGGGTCTGCTCCAGAAACACAAAACAAATCAATCAATAAAGTCACCTTAACAGATCAGACCTGTTATCATTAGTATGATCCAGTACTTTCTTGTCATTTCATAGGCTTATTTATTTTCTTGCCAGTTTGAGCCAAGGTCATAGTCGTCTGGTGTCTGCTCATTTGCCTGACCCAAAATTATTATATATATTATATACATTTAATAATTCTTGATGGAATGGAAGCATTTTAGAAAACCTATAGCCACAGTTTTTTCTGGGGTCCTCTGAGTAGCCGTGGCTAAGTGTTTGGAAGAACCAGGAGCCTGCTAAAATTACATGAAAATTCTTTCTTGTGTACATGTGTGTATATATACAGATACATACATATGTAACACTTGAGGAGTACCTACCTCTGTATCTTTCATCAAATTCTTAGAAGTCCAGGATCCAGCAAAATCCTGAGTTATTAGAGACTTGGCCATATATTCTTCATCTATTTTAAATGTAATAGCAAATTTATTTTGACCCTTGAACCAGTCTTATCATTTACTTTATTTTATTTTTTATTTTTTTCATTTACTTTAAATACAATTCGGTCTACCTAGTCTCATTCCATTTAAGTGTGATATCTAAGCTATCATCATTAGCTATTAAATAGTGAGATTTGAATGTTTTGTTTTAAATTTGGAGGAGTTTATAGGAGCAATTCTTTGTTGGGTTCTTAACATTTTGACTTAGTAGGGCCTTGGCATGATCAATCTCCTTATAGATATATAAATTTCTTAAACATGAAAAGAATAGTGGAATCAAGTGCTTCAGCATAAGTATGTGTATTTGTGTGTATACACACACATTTTGCAATTTAAGCCAAAAATACAGTTTTGATAATTTGGCTACTCTAGTCAACATGTTTAAACTCCTTGAGGTTGTATAGTTTATTTCATTGGCATTTTAGAATATTTTGCAATTATTATATTTATGATGGCATCCAAACACTTAAAAGAAAAATAGTATGTTTGACATTTCTGGTCAGATGACTTGAATTTGACAGGAAATATTGTGGTAATTTAGACCCTTCCCAGTTTTCAGTCAAAATTTGAAATAAAATACTTAATACCCAAATGGAAACTTAAAATATATGTTTTAAAATTAATAGTAATATTTTTAACTACGTGAAACTATTCAGCTGATACTATTAAATATGAGATAGAAGTGTTTTCTTCACATTCTTTTTGTGTACATTAGATTACACTGAAAACCTATTTAAACTTTTCATCTGTATCTAAAGTTTATACAGAGGTACTATAAAATGCTTAAGATTTGGAAACAAATTTAGCAGTATTTGCTTTGTTGGAGAGTCTTAAAACTTAATAATTTGCTATGAGTATATTTTTAAGAAACACTGACAGAAAAGAATGTTGTTTTTAAAATTCTTGCAGGGTCTGGGTAATTTCAGGCCAGGAATTGTTTTGTTCTAATGTGTTTTCTCGCTTAATATTCTCTCTGTAGGATAACTTCAAACTAATGTGTACTAATGCCATGATTTATAACAAGCCAGAGACCATTTACTATAAAGCTGCAAAGAAGCTTTTACACTCAGGAATGAAAATTCTTAGCCAGGTAAAGGAAACTTTTTGTCATAAATAATTATTAATCTATATCCCTTTGTTTTATGAGGATACAGATTTGTCTTGTTGACAGATCATGTTAAAGTAGGAAAAATTGAAACAAAATTTCAATAAAGAAATTTAAAGTAGTAAGGTTCTCATTTGGAGTTGATATACATAAATATTGTCATTCACTTATAATTAAGAGGTTCCTGAATTATTACTCATCAGACAGATTTATTTGCTGTGGGAGAAACATCAAACTGGATTCCAGGATAAGATTGGATAAAGTGTGAGACCTTTCCAGAGGAAAGCTGTTTCCCTTTATAGTGATGGAATCTAATGTTGCGTTCAGTCCTGTTTCTAATTCCCTTCTAGTGGAAAGAAACAAAATAAACAAATGAGAAGTAATTTGGAATTGTCTCACAGCCACACAACTTGAATTGTCTGTGCTTCCTGCATACCTTGAAGGACACGAATTAGTGCATAGAATGGTGGGAGGAAGGTTTGCAAAAGCACAGACCCATCACTGTCAAGCTACATAAGAGAGCTTAAATATACGATACTTCAGATAATAACAAAAAGTTACATGAAAGCCCTTGGCAAATAAGCCAAGTTGATCACTTTGCATCTGCTGGGAGAAGAGAAAAACTTGCAAGATAAGTCTCATCTTTGAGGTTTTCTCACAGCTCTGAGTAGGATGAACCTACTATTTAGAAACTACTTCAAGGAAATTGAGGGTCCACCCTGGCACCATACATAAAGAAAGTTTTAATTGTGATTTCCAAGATGATGCTTAGCATAAAAGTTCTTATTCCAGGTGAGAACTAGAATAGGGGAAGACTGAAAGATAACAGCCAGCTACAGGAAGGATATTGCAAAGAAGTGAGTGGGCAAGGTACAATACAGGAGAAAGGAATCTGAATTAAAAGCTTGAGCGCAGGCCCTGGAGAATTAAGGAATGGCAAAAATGAACCATGTGTTTTGCATATGGTTTTTTGATTTTTATGGTGCTCGCTGGTATTACAGTTTTATATTTTAAAAATATGCCTTGGTGTGCTGATGTCTGAGTGTCTGTGTGCTTCTCTCTGAGAGATTCTTGGATCCACTTAAACTAAGGGAAGAAAAACATTTGGATTGATGATTATATTTGCACTCCTAATATTTAAACATCAGTTCCCTCCCTTTCCTAAAGACTTGGGAAACTGTGATGTGAGCCAGTGATACATCTTTGACAAAATTTGCACAGAAAAGAACACTATAAAATATTTGTTCCACTTTTTACAGGAAGATGCTCAGAATCTTAGTCACATTCCAAGTTTCAAAACCTGACAGTGCTTGCTTGTTGTCATTATATTCAAAGTAAAAAAGTGCATTCAGCCAGTTATTCCTTCTAAAATATGTACATTGAATTTTGGTGGGAAAGTCTAATTTTTTTGTTAACAACTCTGATTTACCATTTTTTTTCTTTAATGCAGTTAATATAACATGAAAAAGATTCTGATATCTCTTGAACTTCACTAGGGTTGAGATGGTAGGAAGCACAGAAAGTAAACTTCTCCCCTTTCTCCCTCCCACCTCCTTCTCCTCCTCTTTCTTTCTCTCCCCCATTTCTTCTCCACCCCCGCTCTCCCCCTTTAGTTGTCTTCCCTTTTTTTCAGATGTCTTCCTGGGCAGGAGCCCTACCCATCCTGTGTTATAGTTTCCTGTTGACTCTTCTCTCCACCCTAAATGGGAGGGATCCTTACAGCAGTGATTTTAAAATGTTTAAATTTAGACTTAACTGTTAGAGTTAACTGTACTAATAAAAGTATGCCCAAGAGAGCCCATCACATCCTTCTGTGAATGGTCTTTTCAGAGATAACGTTTTTTTGAATGTCCATTGAAAAGATTGTACTAGAGTCATTGTCTTTTTTTTTTTTTCAGTTACACCCAGATAGTGACTATTAGTAGTTGTGTTATTTTTATAAAGAATGTACAGATGAATAATTCTTTTGATTTCCTGAATAAATAACTTGAGTAGAGTTCTAAATGATAGTACAAACAGTACTGTTCTTAACATAATGACTTTGGAATCAGACAGGTCAAAGTTCAAGTCCCAGCCTCACCATTTACAAGTGGTATGCCTTAGGCCTTTTTCCTATAAGGAAGTAATATCACTTACCTCATAGAATTATGTCTGGGAGAAGCACTCAATAAAAGTTATATTCATGACAAAGACTCCTTCATTTGATATTGTAAAATTGGGGATCAAAACAATATGCTTGGCCTTTCTCCGTGAGATAGCCTTTATTTGTCAGCTCTGACAAATAAACTCTTCTGTGTTTAAAAAAAAACAACAACAGTATGCTTAATTTGGAGAAAAAGACATGCTTGCAAAGTAAAATTATTGTACTTTTCCCTATGACTTGTTTGTAAATTTAGAAAATTTTCTCTAATTGAATTTATTTTGTGTATGTTGTGTTTTTTAAAGTTCAGAAGTATTCTTATTGTAGTTTTTGCTTCATAAAATATAAAGTGGAAATAAAAAGGTTATTTAGAACTTTGTGATCTGAGCTTAGTTGTTTAATGATTTATTAGTAGCTACTATGTACCAATCCATTTTTGCTCTTTTGGTACTGGGGATTTAATGCAGAGGTGCTTTACCATTGAGCATATCCCCAGCCCTTATTTTGAGACAGGATCTTGCTCAATTGCATAGGGCCTTGCTAAGTTGCTAAGGATGGCTGTGAACTCATGATCCTGCCTTAGCTTCCTGAGTTGCTTGGATTATAGGTGTGTGCCACCATACCTGGCGCCAACCTATTTTAGGTACTAGGTATTTTTTTTAAGTGTGTAGTAAAATTAGACATGTAGTAAAATTGGGTAGGGGATTTTTGAGGTCTTTCAGGGTTTTTTAAATGATACTATTCAATTTGGCAAGGATTCCAAGAAACTTTATAACTAGTATAAACTGATAAAACTTTTCTGGAAGGCAGTAAGTATCAAAAGTCTTAAAAATACTCATTCCCTTTGACCTCTGCTTTTAGGAACTTATCCCAAAGAGAGAAAAAAATTCCTATAGAGATTTATTTATAATATTTATGTGGAAATTTGGATATCTTAATGTCCAGTTATAGGGTTTATTAAATCATTATAGTTACATAGGACTAAATACTTTATAGCTATTAAAAACATTTTTAAAAATATTTAATGAGATATTATGAGGAACTGATTGTAACTTATTAACTAAAACAAATATTTTTTTCCAGATATTTAGTATAATTCTAATTTTCTAAAAATTTATCATAGCTTAGAATAGTATTGTTCCTTCTAGATGATCAGTTAACAAGGTTTTATTTTCTCTACTTATATTGTTACTTGTCTATGTAAAATATGTTTTTTTTTTCAATAGTTTTAAGATTATTTTAAAAGTCCAGTAAAAATGGCAGGATGCATGTTCTTGGGGGGAACTTCACCATCTGCGTTACTGGTAGAGCATAGCATGATGAGAAGAGGCCCCCATGAGTGACAAGAGGTGTGATGCTAGTTCACTGGTTCTGTAACCTTTGGTGAGTCATTTAGAGCTTCAGTGCTACATTTCTTGTTTGACCTCTAGTTCTTTCCAGTTTTTATTATTCTGTGAAAGTTTTCCCTACTGTTGCAGTTTATCCAGTGACAACTCTCAGAGTTAAAAGGCAGAACAGTCAATAAGAACAAATTTGCGTCTTTAAAGTTTACCCAGAAACCTCAACCCCTTAACCACAATGAAAATTTCACAGCACATCATTGCAGTGGAAAATTAAGCATGTTTCACAGAGTAGAAACAAGGTTTGTTGATAGGTAAGAACATTATGCACTCTAAGAAAGGAATTATGCTAGCAACCATTTGTTCTCCCAGAGGCATATCATTTTCACACAAAGCAAAATGGCAAAGTCATCAGTGATCCCTATAGGATACCAGATTATAAAACTCCTTCACATGCTCCATGTTTTAAATACTTAATCATTCTTAAGTTTCAAAAGACAGGCCAGTCTATTAAATATAAACTTTAAATATACTTTTTTTACTGTGCTCTTTTTAATATACTATTAAGCTAAAATTTACTTTTTAATTTCATTAATACAAAGAACATTTAGTCTTAATTCACACTCTTCTGTTAACTTTCTAATGGTACAGTAAAGTTGTAAAGCTTTCTCTTACATTGGAAATTAAATGATCTGAATTAAAGGAATAGACATCATTGTCCTGGTTCCTAAATAGAATACTCTTATGGTGTAATTACATTTAATTATTTTTCTTCCCTATTTAATGATAGGATGAGTGCAAACTCTTGGGGAAAAACAATGCATTATTTTTAAAGTCAGTGACAGCCATACAATAAGTATTTTTGAATATTTTTAGGAAAGAATCCAGAGCCTGAAGCAGAGCATAGACTTCATGGCAGACTTGCAGAAAACTCGAAAGCAGAAAGATAGAACAGAGGCCTCTCAGAGTGGGGAAGACAGCGGCTGCTGGTTACGAGAGCGGGAAGACTCTGGAGATGCTGAAACACAAGCCTTTAAAAGCCCCAATAAGGACAATAAAAAGTAAAGAATTTTGGAATATTAAGGTTAAACAGTCATTTTCAAGCTAGTGAAAGGGGGGAGGGAATACTGATTCGAACCTAACTTGGAAAGATAAGTCCCAGTCTATCGGTGGCCGTTGCTTTGTATGAATGTCCATTTGGATCATCTGATGTTTCCTCCTTCTCATAGAGAGCACTGTATGGAGTTGTCCAGACAGTTCAGTAAACAGTTCTGAATATACATTTACTAAATTATTTTTAAAGCCAATAAAAATCTTTAGGAACTCATATTGTCAGGAAATTTATTTAAATAGAACTATTTATTTCAGGGGAAAAAAATGTGTATTTATAACCTCATTCCTAATGAGAAAGGAGTTCAGCATAAGCACATTTAGAGTGCCTTCCTAGACAGATGGTCTGTCACTGAGATGTGTGCATGTTTTCCACTAAACGTCAGCTAGTGGGAGCAGTAAAGCCTCTGGTCCTCCTGGCACTGTCCAGCATGGCTGAACAGCAGGCATATCCACCTGCTTACAGCCCTGACTGCCCAGCACTGCACTGTGAACTTCAGGGAGGGCCCACATTAGCACTTTGGGATTTCTCCTATCAGAATAAAAAGAAAGTAAATATGTGACAAGTTTCTTTGTTGTTTCTAAGGTTTACCCATTTCAAATGTCTTGTTTTCTATTTAAATTTTTAAAAATTGAATTTAAACAACTGTATATTCCCTCCCTTTCAAGGTAATATCTGAAGTAGAATTCATTTTTGTTAATGTACCCAGAAAAACATTTCAGACAAGTAACACTGGACAAAAATTGTGGAGGGAAGTAATCACTGTATTAGGTCTGTCTTCCTGTTTGTGCATCATTAAGGAACTTATCAGGTCATTAGAGAGCAAAGCTTAAATAGTGACAGTGGTGCAGATGTCTCCACTTACTATATTCATATTTGGAATTCATTTTGATGTTTTGTCTTACTTATACTTTTTAACTTAATGTGTGTTTTAGGAAAGACAAAGATGTGCTTGAAGATAAGTGGAGAAGCAGCAACTCAGAAAGGGAACAGGAGCAGATTGACCGGGCCGTCCAGGAGTCTGGTGGGAAGCTGACCCGGCGGCCAGCCAACAGTCAGGTAAGGGACTCTTCTTCCCCCACCAACTTGGAGCCTCTAAAACTGTTAGCTTTTAAATTTCTTCTGTGTTTTTAATTCATGCTGCCATAGAGCTCTTCATCACTGGAATACTCAGAAGAAAAAGAATGTGTTTGTAAAATTTATGATTACTGTGTCCTCTTTTGCTAGGATGTTGTTTTATTGTTTGTATTTTCCAGTGAATTTAATGTGCTCCAAAATTAGAAAGTGAACCACATACTTTAAACTTACAAGAAAACATTTATATCCTGGCCCTTTAAAATCATACTGTTGAGCACATTGTCAAGCACCAAGTAGACTCAGACCTGAGTGAGCAAGTCACTCCCCTTCTCCAGTCTGCAGTATTCTCCTTTGTTGAGAGTTGGGGAGAACCAGGAGGTGGCCTTCTATAATCTACACAGTCCTTTAAAATTCTGAGATGTCCTTACCTTCCAACTGTCAAGCCTGTCAACACCTATATACATGGAAGACAGGTGTGAAAGTCAATATTTGAGTTTAATAGACACCTATAATGTTACTTTGATTAAAGCATGACTTTCTAGTGTGCTTCTTTTATGTGGGAAATAGGTAAAACTTTATTCCATTTGAATATTTTGGGTCATTGCAGTGCGAATTTGAAAGAAGAAAACCAGATGGAACAACAACATTGGGACTTATCCATCCTGTGGATCCCATTGTAGGAGGTAGGATCACAGCAAGACTGCACATGAACTTTATGCTATTTGGCAAAAGTAATCTGGGTTAACATCTTAAAGTTGCAAACCTAAATTCAACCATATCGTTATCTTCAAAGAATTAAACATCATGCATTTCATGATAATGGCTTGCCTTCACTTAGTGTTAATTTATATAACAAATACCCATTTTTATAATGTTATAAGAAAGATAATTGGGAATACAGAAATTGATAATGACACAATTCCTACACTTTAGGAAATAGTCTCTAATAGTCTTTACTGTGGCAAAGCACTGTCTTAGGAACTATAGGTGGAGCTGGGAGTGTAGTGGGGAGCAAAACAGAAGAGATGGGTCCCTTCCCCTTAGATTCTGTGGGTGGGGGAAGGAAGGTGTGCAAACTAATTATATAAGGAGATGTCTGTAGTAAATACTACACACTTGTCTGTCATAAACAAAGTACTGGAGAGGAATAGATCAGCCATGATTGTATATAAGAGAAAGTTCCTCCCAAGTGTTTGGGGGTCCCGGAGGACTTACTTAGGAGATGATATTTAAGCAAGTAAGGGACAAAGGAACAGGTAACGGACTATCAGAACCACAGGTGAAAAAAACCTGAAGCAGGGAAGAGTTTAATGCAGCTGAAGACTAAGTGGGCAAGTCTGTTAATATTAATGCTCCCTAAACATCACTAGAAGAAAGGGAGCCAGAATGCATTTTTCTTAACAAGACTCATGTTTTCCTTTCATGTGAACTTTTCATAGTAGAGTTTTATGGTTTTTGGCCACAAAAGATGCCACAGCATTGAAAACATTGCTCTTTGTAGTGTAGCTGTGGTGAAAATCTGGTAAGGGAAAATGCAGCTAACCTGGATATAAGTGACTCCCTGAGATGTACCCGTTTCTTTGTCTGGTCTTTGCTCTCAGTCTGTTTTCCTGCTCCTGTGGGCATAATCAGATATGGCCAAAGCTAACTTGAGTCACACATACAGCCAGCCACTCTCTCAAGAGGCCACTTGGCTGGTTTAAGGTGGAAGACAGCCCTGCTCATTATCTTAGCTTTACCCTCCCGGTGGAGGTGCCAGTACATATTAGGAAGACATATTGCAGATGATTCACCAAGAAGATAGGGTCTTCTGATTTCAGTGTTTGAAGTTTTTTACAGGTGCTTTCATCCCACTGATCACTTGTGGCAATAACCTCAAACCAGCTTTAGGAGAGAAATCACTCTTTCTATTGGAAATTATTGGGGACCACTTTTCTCCTGAAATCATCCTGCTAGGTGCCCTCCTCATGATCTCTGCTTATATCATATATTCCCAGTTCCAGTACAGGAATTCATTCCTGGTTTACCAAGATCACATTTTTTAAAGGCTATGTGTCATTACAGTAAAAGTATACCTGTTATAGACATTAATTTATCCTTAATGCATTATGAGCTCTTATTTTTAATCCAGGTATTTTTCTTTACTTAGTCTTTTCTAACCTTCCTACTCTTTTCCCTCCATCTTCTTAACATTAAAAGACCCAGCTTTTAAATCTGTTAAATCTGCATGCCTATAATTAGCGACTTGGGAGACTGAAGCAGGAAGATTGAAAGTTTGAGGCCAGAACTTAGTGAGAACCTATCTCAAAATTAAAAAAATAAAAAATAAATATATATATATATATATATACACACACACACACACACACACACACACATACATACACATACACACACACACACATACATATATATGTAATATGTATTCACATGCATATACACAAAGGGGCAATTTAGCTGGGTGGTAAAGTGCACCTGGGTTCAGTCCCCAGTACCCTCCCCCTCCCCAGCAAAATCTTATCTTTAAAGATGAAGTATAAAAAAATTGTAAAGAATTCTAGGAAGCAATGGAGTATGATGAAAAGGTCCAGATTTTTGGTCCCAGGTCCACAATCCTGCCTTTCTGAATTGAAATTTACTTGTCTTAAAAGTGAATATAATAAGAGCTACCCAGCTCCTTCACAGTCGTGTAGACAAGATGAAGTACATGAAAGCACTCAGCAGAATACCCTATGGATCTTTCCCATGTATGCCTCCTTCATTGTACTTGGTTTTATGTCTCAGAACCAGGCTACTGCCCTGTAAGACTGGGAATGACAACTGGAAGACTTCAGTCTGGAGTGAATACCTTGCAGGGGTTCAAAGAGGATAAAAGGAACAAAGTAACCCCAGGTGAGGCTTCTACATAGTTACCAAGTTTTTTCTCTACTCTTGCTTCAGGGAGTTAGAGAAAGGAAACGTAATTACCATTCATTGCTTTATTCACCAGCTCTCTTGGTGGTTTTTTTGCAATATGAATTAGATATTTCATTAACTTCAAAAGAAACTAGAAAACTAGGTATTAGTATTCAAAATGAGTTTTGTTCTTTCTATTTTTCCTCTCCCTTTGTGGAAAATAATTCACTTGAATTGCAACTTCACAGGTAGGGTCATCCCTCTGTGTCTGTGGATGCCATACCCGTGGATTCAACCAAATACAGATCAAAAATATTCAGAAAAAAAATCATGTCTGTGCTGTGAGCCTTTTTTCTTATTATCTCTAAATAATATAATAATATAAAACAACCATTTTACCATCTGTATCTTAGATTTGTATACCAGTGAAGTAGTAAAAGTTAGAAGAGAATAAACTTTTATTAAAGTAAGAAATTAGATTGTCATATAAACTAAAAAATAGTATTATAATAATGTGTTTAATTTTTTTCAACAGTGTTATACTTGAATTATGGACCCTACAGTTCTTATGCCCCACATTATGACTCCACATTTGCAAATATCAGCAAGGATGATTCTGATTTAATCTACTCAACCTATGGAGAAGACTCTGACCTTCCAAGTGATTTCAGGTGAGTCACTAGTTAATCAATGTTCAGAACACAACATTTCTCTAAAATATTAATATACAATATGTGACTTGTGGATAGACTTACAGAGTTATCCAAAAGGTAGAAAATGTGCTCAGTAATTTTTTAAGTTGACAATAATAGACCCATAATTGCCTTCCTTTGATGGAAACAAAATATTTTAAAGAGAACATATGTCCTTCTTATGTGTTTCTTACAGAAATCAGATGCTGTGTACCTTGATTAATAACAAAAGTTTAGGAGCTTGTTACCTCAGAATGTTGATGTGTTTCATGTTGCTCTACTGTGACATTTTGTGTGTCAATGAGTTATGTTCCACAGTTGATCAGTTTGGAAACCCATGGCACGTTTTCCCCAAGCTCTGAGACATAGGACACGATGACTTGATTCCTAAGGCAACCCAATACAAGCTTGTTTGCCTACTGTGCACCTACCAGTGGTCTACCAGACAGACCATTGCAGTTATATTCATCCATCCCTTGTTGCATTTTTCTGTGGGACAGTAACTTCTGTGATCCTATTTAGGATACTGAACGCTTTACATCCCATTAACATAATGAGATACGGTGCTGATTTACCAGGACTGTGGCTTAGTGTGAGGCATTGAGCTTGGATATTTCCTTCTCAGCACTGGTACCTTGTAAACTGTTATTATGTAAAAGAACTTGACGCTAAAGATTAACCAGTTCCCTAGTTTTCTGACAAAGGGAAAGTCTGTTTACTTGTACAGAAATGTGTGGTTTTGCTGTTTTTATAGGTAGGTCCCTAAGTTAGAGATTGGCTGTTTCAGATCAAGCCATCTATATACTTAGACTTCAGCAGCTTAAACAGATTTTTTTTTGATTATTCATCTGTACATTCCACAAATAGGCAGTAGCATGCCCACTATTCTAGATGCTGGGAATTCCATGGGGAAAGAATAGTGTCAGAGTCCTGTGCCCTCCTGTCAGATGGTAACATTGCTTTGGAGAAAGAAAAAGGAAGATAGAATGCTAGGGTGAAGGGGAAAGTGGTCAGAGAGGTAATAGGTGAGAATAGATTGTCACAAGGACTTGGAGTTTTAAATAAGATGAGAGTCCACTGGTAGATTGTGAGCTTATAATTCTAAAAGGGTTCCTCTGGCTTCCACCCACTAGGCAGAAGTTGGGAGACTGCTGTCATAAACCAGATGAGAAATGGGCCAGGGGAGTAGCCATTGAGGTGTTAAGAAAGGATCAGTAATTAGTAGGATTTCTCAGCTGGTTGAAGTGGGGTATGAGAGAGAGAAGACAGCATGAGTCCAGCATTTTCAGACTTAGTTTAAAAGATGTAGTTGCCATTCACTGAAGAAACATGCTGAGAAGGGGAAGGCCTTAGAGCACTGCTTGGGATTCAGCATTTCGGCTTTCAGTGCATGAGCATGAGATGCTGGTGAGACATTCAAACCCAGGTGTGACTTGGACAGTTTAGTACACATGAAAATTCTGAGGTGAACGATATCTGTAAGGGGACAGGGTGTGAAAGGGAAGTACATGAAGCCCCAAGGACTGAGCTATCTCTGAGGTCTTATTTTTCCTTGGAGAGCCTTCAGAATAATTTCATTTTCACTGTGATCTTGATATTGTTTAGTTCTCTGGTGACAATGAATTTATTACTGGTAAATATGTAAGTATAGTCTTGCTTCTAGAGAGAAAGTTTTATATCATGATGTATAAACCAAGGACATCTAATGGAAACAGTTGGTTATGACAGAAGGATTAACAATGGAGATGATTTATGCGGAAGTGACTTTCTCAACTCTCTCTTTTTCAGCATCCATGAGTTTTTGGCCACATGCCAAGATTATCCATATGTTATGGCAGATAGTTTACTGGATGTTTTAACAAAAGGAGGGCATTCCAGGACCCTACAGGAGTTGGAGACGGTAAGAACGCTGCTAAACAAACAGGGCGATTTATTACTGGCTCAGAAACATTAGTCACTCAGTGTTATGAAACCAAGGATTAGCTAGTGTGACAGCTGAACTCCATGGCCCTCCCAGACAACCCAGCCTGGGTGGAGGCCATGGTGGAAGACAATGAGCGGAAAGGAGTCACCAGCTACCAGGACCTGGGAAGGGCAGAACATGCTAATATCTCCTGATCTTGGGAATGTGGGATTCAAAACTGGGGTTTACAACTCAGAAGTCAGTGGGTACTGTGTACCCTAACAAAAAAGGGGAAAGTCTTCTCACTGGCTTGAAACTAGGTTCACTAAAACAATAGGAAATGCCCTTTTCCTTACTATACAGTTAATAGCCTAGTGGTAGGAACCTTGGGTTAGAAAGTAAAAACTGCCTTATTACTGTTTTATATTAACACTTATAATCTGTCTCAGTTCATAATATGGAGTAATTCAATCTTAGCTCAAAAATTGGAACCAGAATATGTCCCTACTGATGTATAGGACAGTGTATTTTCAGAATGTTCTTGTCATTATAATTAGAGGACCCTACACGTCTTGGAAATCATTGCTCTCTTTTTTTTTTAAGTACTGGGGATTGAATCCAGGATGCTTTACACACACTACCTCCCTAGTCCTTTTTATTTTAAGTCAGGGTCTCGCTAAATTGCTTAGGGCCTGGCACTTGTGATCCTTGAACTTTCCTTTGATGATTTTGGCAATATATTTCAAAATGTAATTTTTCTGCCCTTTGATCCAGCTGTTCCTCTTTTCATAATTTATCCTAGAAAATAAGAGATTTATATGAGGATACATTGTTTATGATTTTTAGGAATTGGAAATTAGTTATATCACAATACAACCTTTCAAAGAAAGATAAAATTTTAATTGATGTCCATGATGCATATTTCCATGGTTTACGTGTGCATAATCTCTTAACAAGTAGGATTATAGGAATTAACTGTATTCTCTGTTAACATTTGCATATTTTACAATAATTCTCTACTGTCTGAGAATATTGCTTAATTGCTACCCAGTAGTCCCTAGAGTTCCCTTCTTGTAAGAGACTGAACCTATTGTTAAAAACAGATTCCATTTATTTAGTTATATGCTATTTACCAAACACCTTCTTAAATATATGGATAGGTTTTTGTTCAGGCATGGAGCTCAGCATCACCAATAAAAGTACAACAACTCACAGAGTACTCTCAAAATGCTAATTACATTTAATTCGTTTTTATTTAAAAAGTTATATTCTAATAATAGACACTCTAATTTCTTTTCTCTTGCCACAAAACTTTGTTTTCTCATTTCTCTATTTGTCAATCCATACTTTTTTTCTTAAAATGTTGTTTTTCTTTATTCTTAACAGTCATTGCCTGAAGATGAAGTCCAGGCTAGGACACTTGACACAGCAAAAGAAATGGAGGTGATTATATTTTATTCTTTTCAAGAAATGTTTAAATGAAGAATAAGCTGAAAGACCTAAGTGATGTATTTTAAAGTAAAAATATTCAGTATTACCTATGGTAGAAAAGCTTATCTTGGCCTGTGGAGCCTAGCAGTACTTGTAAGGTATTTGGGCATGTAAACAATGGAATCAAAACCAGTTTACATGGAGTGAGTGCATGGAGTGTGGACACCCAGGGTGGAGGAGCTCACTGGTTAGGTAGCTCTGAACAGGGCTAGCAGGATGCAAAGGCGTCTCCCAGCAGTGGGGTCAGATATCTGGAGCAGGTATCTGACAGTGAATGTGACAGATGAATCTGAGAGAGGAGGGCATGTGCACAGCAAGCTCAGAAAATATAACCAGCAGTCCCTGGGGAGGACAGGTGGTAAGCCTGTGTAGGTGAGGACCCCGTGATGAAGTCTTCTCTATAGTGCTGAGAAGCTGAAATCGTATGGCATATAGTGACTTAGACTAGTATACCAATATAAAGGAACAGAATAAGGATTGGGGGCGGGCGGGGTTGTGGCAGTGGTAGAGCACTTGCCTAGCATGTGTGAGGCACTGGGTTCGATTCTGAGCACCACATACAAATAAATAAAGGGCCATTGACAACTAAAAAATATTTTTAAAAAATAAAGAATAAGATTTGGGAAATGCAGTGGGATGAAAATTAAAATTACCTAGTTCCTGATATTGGTGATAGTATTATTAACTCATAGGACGTGAAGGAAAAGGAGCACAACTTTGACAGGGAAAGAAGTCATATTTGGTTTCAGATGTGACAAGTGTGGTGAGGACATTGCCAGAGGTATGGGCCTGGCACTTGAAAATCTGGGCTGTTGTTTGGATCTGGAAGTTGTTGGTGTAAAGGTGGAATTTATTTCAGTCATTAGAGACTACAGGGAGAATATGGAAAAAGGTTGAAGGACAGAACCTTAGAGAAGACAAGTAGTTGAGTCAGGAAGGAAAACCATGGAAGAATGCTAAGCAGGGAGAGAGTTTACAATATCAAATGCCATGGAAACCCAAGAACAGGAGGCCCACAAGTGTATTTGTAATCTTGATCAGAGCAATCTCAGTACAATGGTAGAGACCAAAGGTAGACTTTGGTGAATTAAGTAAGTGGAAGAAAATTGGGTTAAATGGAGATTTAAGATTGTGCAGGGGCTGGGGATATAGCTCAGTTGGTAGAGTGCTTGCTTCACATGCCTAAGACCTTGGGTTCAATCCCCAGCACCACCAAAAAAAAAAAAAAAAATTGTACAGACTTGAGTTCTCTGAGAGAGTAATAGAGATAAAGCTGTTATTTACACAGCCATGTTGTTTTCAGGGAAGGAGCCAAGAAAGATCGTGTGCTTAGGGAACAAGAGTGAAAAATCTTTGAAGACTGGGAAAGGAAGTTGGTTAAGAAATAAAAAAGATTATCCAGCTGAAATGGCAAACCATAATACCAGTGCCAGGTTGTAGTTAGAGTTTTTCTCCACTGTACACTTTCTGCCCGTATATATGAAGGTAGAGAAGTCAGGTTTTTAAATTGCATTTGGACTACAATACCAAACATAAATGGAATCACCAGCTTTTGGTTACTTATTATCTGGATTGATGTACTCCTCAAAAGCAGTGTTGAGGTTATGGAAACTCTGAGTCTTAGGATCCAAAAATAAAACTCCACCCTGCATAAGATTTTGTTTTTTCCATGCAATCCCAATAGCCTAGCTTTGGGTCCTGGACAAGACCCAGGAAGCATCTTATATTAAAGATGTACTATAGAGATGCAAGTGTATGGACTGGGTGGGCCGAAACATTGGACTTTGAGTCTCAGAGACATCAGATAAAAGTACTTCATAATTTAGGTAATTTCTCATTACTTTATATGTGGAATGGTTGCCATATGAAGCAAATGCTGCAAACCGTATGAGACCTCATTACATTACAGAAAAGCGTGGATTTATGAACTCTTATTTTGCCGAAATTTGGGAATAGCATTTTAAAATGGTATGCTGGGGAGACATTTTTAGAAAGTCATCAAAATGATAACTCCGACATAACGAAGTAAAATAACTGCCTATAAACGTAGCCATCTTACTAATTTTTACTTAGCACTCTCATGGCTTAGCAAGTTCAAATAATTTCCTTTTTTCTTTTGAAGCAGATTACAGAAGTAGAGCCAGCAGGGCGATTGGACTCTGGCACTCAGGACAGGCTCACAGCACTCAAAGCAGTAACAAACTTTGGCGCTCCAATTGAAGTCTTTGACTCTGAAGGTGAGGGTCGCAGACCATAGGTTGCTGGAAATACTGTGCACCACAGTCAGTCGAGACCAATGCTATGTTGGTACAAATTAACCAAGCCACTCGCCACAGCAAGATCTTGCGTAGCCAAGTTAAACAAAGAGTAAAACATGGCTGTGGTACTGGGTTCATTGGAGGGACATTACTTCTTTGAGGGGAGAAGTCTAACCAATAAATAGTTAAGCCTTGAAGCACTGGACTCATTTTATCACATAAGATCAAACACAAGTATGCCTAGGTTTTCCTGAGTGTGTTGGTTCTTCTTACCTCACAGAGGCTGAAGTGTTCCAGAGGAAACTCGATGATACCACGAGATTGCTCAGGGAGCTTCAGGAAGCTCAGAATGAGCGGCTGAGCACCAGACCCCCTCCCAATATGATTTGTCTTTTGGGTCCATCATACAGAGAAATGCACCTCGGTATGTAGCACCTCCAGTAAGAGGAGAGTTGGGGGTTGCTTAAAGGAAAAAACTTCCAAGTAATGACATCACTATAAAGTGACTCTGGAATGAATACCATGGAAAGTGTGTTTTTTGCATTAATGCATTCATGTTCTGTTGTATTTTTTTAATTTATTTTTTAATTATCTGAAAAAACTGCTTTTCAATGCCTGAAACTGTTTTTATTTTTATTTCTAGCTGAACAGGTGACCAATAATCTTAAAGAACTTGCTCAGCAAGTAACTCCAGGTGACATTGTAAGCATGTATGGAGTTCGAAAAGCAATGGGGATTTCCATTCCTTCCCCCATCATAGAGAACAACTTCGTAGATTTAACAGAAGGTACGTACCCTGTTTCCCTGTGAGTGTGGGAGGTGCAAGTAAAAGGAACGTCTCAGTCCATTCCCTTGAGATAGCATTGGAAAGGTTTGTCTGGGATTTTTTGAATATGTCGAGGGTTTTTGTCGTTAAAGATAGAACCCAGGGCCTCACACATGCTAGGCAAGTGCCCTATACTAAGTTAAACTAGGACCTTGTCTGTCTGATTTTAAGGTATAAATCTACTTTTACTTTACAATGATGACCTAATAATGCCACCTATTCTCTATCCTTGAGTATGGTACAGAGGGCTATCAATAGTCTACTCAATGCTAGCTTCGTCTTCACTTCCCATTTCTAATTAAAAGGAAAAAAACTTAGTGATGTGGTATTGTCTTTCAGATTTTGAAGAACCTAAGAAGACTGATGTTGCTGAGTGTGGACCTGAAGCCACTGGTATTTGATTATATATTATGTATATATTTTTTTCATTCTGAACTTGAAAATGCATTTGAGAAGATATTAACTATTTGTAAATTGTGTTTTTAATTAAACTTTGGAACAGTTAATTTTAATGTTCCAGAGATTGAACTTCTATTAGGTAATAAAGCTGAACCTGAGAAGAATACTGTGCATATCAGCTAAGTTACCTCTTGGCCTTTTCCCAGAGTATATCTGAGGATGTGATAGGAAACCTTGAAACATAGCCTTTTTCATGGTCATCCCTTAAAAAGAAAGTCCTCAAAATAATCAAAATCCCTCATATTTCACATTTTCCATAATTAATTTCTCACTAAAGAAATCAAAACCAATAGTTCCTAACCTATCAGATTCCATCTCGATTAAAGTGGCCTTCAGAAGAAGCAATATGGCTTTGGGCTATTGCATACCTAGGCAGCGTTCTTTCAGAATAATGCTAGTACTTTTTTCAACAGCCCCATCCAGTGAAGATTTTCCATCATTATACCATGAAAACAAATCCTTAAAATAATTTTAGGATGTGCTGTGCTCCCTGCATACCTGATGGGAATGATGTACTTGTGTGGTAATTAGGTGCCCCACACCCCTTAGAATAAGCAGATGAGATTTATAACACTGATTTTCTGTTTTTCATTTTTCAGTAATTGGGAACTGCTAAAGGATAAACCAGATAAGATACTAAATCATCCCAGAATAGATCAGGGAATTACCAAACTTAAAAGGAAGTTTATTTCCTATTTCTCAAAGATCACCTGTGCCTCAGCAGTGCCCCCTAAACTAATAATCATTTTTATCAAAAATACAAAGGTCACATACCAAGCAGAGACCATGAAACACACCCCTCTATCACCAGCCACTAGGCTGAGATGAATGGTGATTTTTCTGAATGTAACCTGTCTAAACTAAAAGGCAATTAGGGCTGGGGTGGAGTTCAATGGGAGAGCATTTGCCTGGCATGCTCAAGGCCCTTGGTTTGATCCCCAGCACTGTAAAAATGAAATGAAAAAACATAGCATAAAGTTCAATACAGAGTTCTGTAAAAACTCAGAAAATCCATTTTGTAAAGGAAAATTGATTCTCTTGAGGAAGTTAAAACATGACCTAGTTTGTGTTAAAGTTAAAAAAAACCTATTTGAAATTTTTTTTTTTTAATCAGGTGTTTTATTTCTAAAATATAATTTTGGACCATCCTTCACTTAGATCTACTTGGCTTAAGTAAGTTCCTAAAGATCAAAAGGATATTTTAAATCAGAACACCTTGAGACGTTCAGGTTTTCCACATTGCTAATTTAATGTATGAAAAGCAGCCTATCACTGGCAGTTTACAAAAATAAAAGATTTAAAGCAAATATTATAGATCTACAAATATTCAATATACAGAACAAATCCTTGTTATTTGCATGCACTGTGAGCAAATTTCTGTACAATGACCTATTATATACACAAAGTATACAGTGGGTAATGATCATCTGTTTTGTTGGGAAATTTCCTTGGTAAGTAAATCAGAAGACGTCAGTGTTAATTTTCGGTAGCAGTGACGCTGCCTTAGTAGAAATTTTTAAGCAAGTGCTCGACCTATAGAAAAGATATTTATTCCTATCAGATTTAAAAAAAAAAAAACCTGCAAGTGATTTTTATGGTCACAACCTGAACATTAAAGTATTCTTATCTGAGCACAACACTTTAATTGAAAACTCCTGTCTGGGGATTCTGTTACTGAAGGAAAAAAGTAACTTGAATATTGAAAGTAGAAATTTGAGGCCAATGTACTGACATGTCTACCTTTCATCAGCAATATAAACCTTCTGGATTCTTCAGGGGAGCTCTAGACGCTGCTAGGTTTTGAGAACACAGATTTCAGTATAGTATTCACCTGAAATCAGCCCTTACTTGAAATGTCAGGGTCAAAGAAGGCTTTTTTCCCTTACCATCATTTTTGTCAGAAAATTCTTTCAGAAAGCAAATTCTTATAACAAATGCATACTGATTCTGATTGTATATAATACATCAGACTGCCACAAGCCCACCCCAGCACCTTTTACAAATTAGATCAGCCCCCCCCCCGCCTTCCTCAGGCAGATAAAGCCCCACAAGACAACACAGCAGACAGGTTACATTTTGATCCCCTCCAACACCACTTGGCTGTACGTTGCTCTGCAATAAGGGTGGCAGCAGCCTCCAGGATCTCCAGTCACAGGTAAACCTAGCTGGTTCGTCACTGCTGCAACCCTATATAATCTTTTGAAGGCTCCAGTAAGATTTTATGAATAACTTCGGGGGCGGGGGGTTGTGGATGACTTTTAGTTATGGATCTCCTGCAATGTAGTGAAACTCAGTGGTGTTGGATCCTAGGGAGGCTCTGGCTGTAAGGTAGCAGTGAAGTCATTTCCGAGCAGGAGCAGGCAGTTTGGTTATTTCTCACCTTGAAACAGGTAGACTTCTTTGGCTCCCTGTGGAGTTGAAGCACCATAAGACGCCATTTCACAAAGCTGGCGTCAAGACTCATTTGGTTTAGAGCAAGAACATCTCAGCATTTATGAGGGGCTGGCTTCCAGGAATAGGAACCTCGACACATCTCATTTAAAGTAGATCCTCTGGTTTTAAAGCTCTTCATAGTTAGCTATGCAGACTAAAGAAAGGGAGACACGTGCTGCAGGTTGTCCAGGTTCTCACTATACTAAGAAAAGCAAGATAAGGGTGAAGACTGCAGGGCAGAGGTAAAAATGCATGAGTGGTCAGGGAGGAGCACATGACTGTACCCCCGTTCTAGGTTTTCAGCTTACTGAACCTGATCAGAAGGCTTGCAGCAAGGTTGCCTGGTTCAGAGACACGCCTGTGCCACTGTTGCTTTCTGTGAGCTGCTTTCCTTGGAATTCTGTCCCTACAGCCAAGCTTATCCACACACTGACACTGGACAGTAGTCTTGCATACATGAGTCATTGACTAAAAAATTCACTGAAAGGAGGAGAGTTTTGTCTAGGGTCTGAGAAGTCATTAGTAAGGATGAAACTCCAATAATGTATCCATTTAAAGCAAACGCATGCCAAAGATGACAAGAAGTAGCAAGTGTCATTTACAGGTTTTCTCTACCATTGGTTTCGTGTCAGCATAACGATTTCACACATGTCAACTCCAGTTACCAGAATGCTTATGTGAAAAACAAGCCCAGAGCCAGCCCTGCTAGGGAGAAGGGCGGCTCCAGCCCATGCCAGGCGGCTTGGCTAAGTACCTAGGAAAAGTGAGTTTCCTTGCACATGCTTACAGGTCACCAAAGTGGATATCTGCCTTAGTCATCCTCTGAGCACCTCCATAGCACCCTGGGAACAAAGTTCTCAAAGTCACAAGCACAACCTCCCAGTGATCCTCTTCCAGCTACCTAGACACTGTTACAGACTGAGGGCACAGAGGCCCCACCTGCTGCCCCAGGTCACAACCCAGCAGTCACTCAGGCAGGATCTGGTGTATGTCTAAGTGACCCTTTAGTGCAAGCCCAGAGAAGCCACACAAAGCCATCGGCCAGGAGGTGGCAACGGCTACAACCTGTTTGAATGCCTTTGCCACTGGCATGGGGCCAAGTCTCTCCTTGGCTGGCTCAGGGCAGGAAGTCGGCTTCCCAGTGCGTTCTGGCTGCACCAGAAGCCCTCAGTTCAGCCCCAGCCCTTGGAACTTGGCAGTGTCTGTACACACAAAGTAAGTCCGCAGCTCGCCTTTGCCTTTGACATTGATCAGTCCCCGGCACTCACAAGAGTAACCTAGTCCCTGGAGGATGGTGCATGTCTCTTCAGTAACCTGAAAAGGAAAAGAAAGCCCGGTCCTCAGAAATAGGGAGATGGTGATGGGGACAAATAGAAGTTGACCACCAAGCAGCATGAATGTCTGCTTTCTCTCAAGAACGTGATGGCTAAGAGTCACAGTTAAGTGGTGGTAGACTTAAGCTTTAGGCTCAGGACACCTCAGCTCTGGGGAGGGTCTTCCCCCTCTGTCACTGCTCCCCAGTGGGTTCTTACCTGGATTTTCCCAAGCTCTCCAGTGCTCTCCATGCGGCTGGCAACATTGACCGTGTTTCCCCAGATGTCATATTGTGGTTTTCGTGCCCCAATTACTCCAGCAATCACAGGCCCGTGGTTTATGCCTGCCAGTAATGTTTACATTTGGCTGATCACAGAGGCAAAGCCTCAGGCCTCTGCCCTTAGGGGAAGCCACAGAGTTGTCCCCAACCACAGAAAGGGTTAACAAAACAGTCTGCAATGTGATACAGCCCTTGGAATGTAAGAAAGGCAAGTCCTGGCCTGTTCTTGTTCAGATTCTCCAAGACAGGAAGTCTGGGTTTGTTGCTAACACTTTTCTAGTACCTGCCAGTCTCCCTTTTAACAACAAGTAAATAGGCCAATCTTGAGCTAGCAGTCACCAGTTAGCTTTAATAACTTTGCTTTGTTCTTAGTGTATTTTAAGGCCACCTCTTTACAGCTGTGAAAACTTCCAGAGGTAACTATACATGCAATATGCAAAGGTCAGGATAATAATGCAGCTGCCAGGCTCATCAGATCAGAGGGATTTCAGGAACTTAATAATGTGATGGCCAGTGCAGCTTGGCCATGCAGACTGAGAGAAGGCTTGCTTAAGCAGGAGCTGCACCATCTTCCTCCCAATCCTGGCAGGCCAGCCTGCCAGCCCACCCGGACACTCACCAACTCGGAGGCGGAAGGAATTGAAGGAGTGCCTGTTGATGCCATCCAGCTTGCTCATCAGGGCAGTGCTGAATTCTACCATGACACCTATGTGGGTATGCTGTCGCTCCAGGTCCTGCAGGGCACAGACATGCAAAGTCCTTCCCCACCATTCCTTCCACAGATCCCTCGACCATCAGGCTTGTGGGCATTGGTGTACCCGGCATCAGTGTGAATTCCAACAGTGGCCACTATGGGCAGAGGGTTGTCCCACAGTCAAGATCTCCATGCTGAGCCATGGAAGTTCCTTTGCCCATCCCTCACAGGACAGGAGTGTTAGGAAGGCATCTCCTTTAAGTAGTAAGATGGCATTCCCTCCTGGGGCTTGAGTACCTGGTTTTCATGCCCTGAGGGGACGCTGAGCCCCGCAGCTGCCATGTAGGTGCTGCCAATGGTCTTGATCTTCTCCACGCCACTGAACTTGGGCTTTAAC